CTCAGAGAGCAGTGTGTTATAAATCAAGGCCACCCCAGACTCTTACCCTCTTCTGCATGCGGGTGTTCTCTTTTCTCATTCTCTACCATGTACACCACGTTGTGACCAGGGCTGCCTGATCCTGAACTCTCAGCCCCCAAGACTGTGAGCTAAATAAACCTCCTTTCCTTATAAAATACCCAGTCTCGGGTGTTTTGTTATAGCAACAGAAAGTGGACTAATACAACAATCAGAAATTATCATCAATTTGCTGTGGCCTGCTCCCTGGCAGATCACCAAATGGCCTGACAAATGGCAAGAGCCAGCCCTCTACGTTCAGTATGTTCTATAAATGGAATCTCCTATTTGAGCCATAGCCAGTCCCCCCAACCCCAACCGTAACAATAAGAGTTACTTCCAAGATGATTTTGGCAAGTAGAATGCAGTGTCTCAAAGCCCCTAGAACCACACAGGCAAAGTACTTAGACTATCAATACAAGAGTGTCATCCAGGAAGCTAAATGGAGTTGCTAACACGCATCAAGCAGTTTCCCAGGAACTTACAAGTTCAATTTCCTAGTAAGCTGTAAAACATACTACTCTGTACTTCTGGTGTTAGTAAAATGGTGCGATCTAATCTGTGGTGCCATCTAAGCCCCAGATGCCATCTTGGGCTCTGGCCCCCATTGCCATCCTGGACAGTAAGCTTCGGTCCTCGGCCCAGTCTGGCCCACCACATGTCAGGTGACCAAACAGCCCAACCACAAGCGTCAGCTCCACCGCCACCCTAATGGGATTCATTGCTTCCACTTGCCTACCCCATGCAAGTGTATAACAAGAACTGCTTCTCTCTCTCTCTCTCTCTCTCTCTCTTCCCCTCTCCCCCCTTTTGCCCTCTTCTTCACCCTCTCCCTCTGGTCTGTTGGATTCCCCTGTCAATAAACCCTTTCCTTTAACTCTGGCGTTTGGTGTGTTTTGTGGTGGCCTTACATCTGGTATACTTTTTTAAAAAATATTTATTTACTTGAAAGGCAGAGTTACAGAGAGACAGATTGAGAAAGACAGAGAATCTTTCATCTGCTGGTTTACTTCCCAAATGACCGCAATGGTGGGGGCTGGGTCAGGCTGAAACCAAGAACCAGGAGCTTCCTCCAGGTCTCCCACATGGGTGGCAGGGACCCAAGCACTTGGGCCATCCTCTGCTGCTTTCCCAGACACATTAGCAGGGAGCTGGATTGGAAGTGGAGTAGCTGAGACTTGAACCGATGCCCATATGGGATGCCACAGCGCTGGCCCCTCTGGTACACTTTTTAGCACACTGATTAGAGTCTTCCCCATCCACCATCTCTTTTTTAATATTTATTTTATTTATTTGAATGACGGAGTTACAGAGAAAGGTAGAGGCAGAGAGAGAGATCTACCCACTGGTTCACTCTCCAGATAGCCGCAATGACTGGAGCTGCGCCAATCCGAAGGCAGGAGCCAGGAGCTTCCTCTGGGTCTCCCACACAGGTGCAGGGGCCCAAGGACTTGGGCCATCTTCCACTGCTCTCCCAGGCCATAGCAGGGAGATGGATTTGATGTGGAGCAGCCACTTCTAATCGAACCGGCACCCATATGGGTTGCCGGTGCCCCAGGCAGGGAGCTAACCCACTGTGCCACAGCGCCAGGCCACCCGCCCCCCCCTCCATCCACCATCTCAATTTCCCCTGCTCTTCAAGTGCTGAACTTGCAGTTCCAGGACACTTTTATGCTGGCTCAAGACTCTTCTAACCACCACACACCTCCCCAGTGAAGACTGGTGTTCAGGTATTTGCACATTCCAGATGTTGTTCAGGTGAAAAAAATATCTTACATACACTCTCCCAAGCGCCCAAAGGCTGCAAAGGCTAGACACTGGTTCTCCCAGCTTGTCATTCAACCCCTCCAATGCAGTCTCCCATATAAATATGAATGCTCCCCATATGTGATTGACAGTGATGAGCTGAGTCTCTTGTCTCTTAGATACACTCCTGATTTTGCCTTCCCTCCCCTCACCACACACACATAAATTACATGAGTAAGATACTAGGGCTTCCATTCTGTTTTTCAGTATGGAACGAGGTATTTTATCTGCTCCTTCATCATACACCAACAAGAACTGAGTGCACGGCCTTCTAGAATGTGGCATGCTGACCCATGTATCATACCAAAACTCTTCTTCAGCTCCGTCACTGATGATAAGCCCCGGACAATAGAGCGTCCTTTGTGTTTTTCAATATGGTAAAAACATTGGCTGTCTCATTTTCCTAACAAACTAATACTTAGATACTTGCATTTATCATACTTTTTCCAGCATACTGAATGGATTCTCTTACAAGCACAGTATTACTTCACCAAATAAAAAACCAAAGGTCAACAATTGTCTTCCATACATTGTTCAGTACACTGAGGGGACATTGCACGTCTGTAATGGCCCTTTTTCTGTGGCTGTAATGAAACACTTGAGGTGGAACACTTTAAGAAAAGAGGGTTGTGGCAGGCGCCGCGGCTCCCTAGGCTAATCCTCTACCTTGCGGCGCCGGCACACCGGGTTCTAGTCCCGGTCGGAGCGCCGGATTCTGTCCCGGTAGCGCCTCTTCCAGGAAAGCTCTCTGCTGTGGCCTGGGAGGGCAGTGGAGGATGGCCCAAGTACTTGGGCCCTGCACAAAGAAAGAAAGAAAGAAAGAAAGAAAGAAAGAAAGAAAGAAAGAAAGAAGAGAGAAGAGAAGAGAGAAGAGAAGAGAGAAGAGAAGAGAGAAGAGAAGAGAAGAGAGAAGAGAAGAGAAGAGAAGAGAAGAGAAGAGAAGAGAAGAGAAGAGAAGAGAAGAGAAGAGAGAAGAGAAGAGAAGAGAAGAGAGAAGAGAAGAGAGGAGAAGAGAGAAGAGAGGAGAGGAGAGGAGAGGAGAGGAGAGGAGAGGAGAGGAGAGGAGAGAAGAGAGAAGAGAAGAGAAGAGAAGAGAAGAGAGGAGAGGAGAGGAGAGGAGAGGAGAGGAGAGGAGAGGAGAGGAGAGGAGAGGAGAGGAGAGGAGAGGAGAGGAGAGGAGAGGCTTGTTCGCCTCACAGTTTGGGGGCTGAGACTTCAAGCTCAGTTGGCCCCATGGATTCAGTCTCTGGTGGGTGAGAGTCCTCTTGACTCCGTCACAACATAGCAAATGATGTCAGGGCAGGAATGAGAGAGACAAGGAGAGACAGGCAGCCAGAGAGAAACTCATGGTGTAGGCTTCCTTTTCTGCTCTTTTCTTTTCTTCTCTTTTCTTTTCTTCTTTTCTTTCCCTTCCCCTTCCTTCCTTCCTTCCTTCCTTCCTTCCTTCCTCTTCCTTCCTTCCTTCCTTCCTTCCTTCCTTCCTTCCTTCCTTTCTCTCTCTCTCTCTCTCTCTCTCTCTCTCTCTCTCTCTCTTTCTTTCTTTCTTTCTTTCTTTCTTTCTTTCTTTCTTTCTTTCTTTCTTTCTTTCTTTCTTTCTTTCTTTCTTTCTTTCATAGCAACTTGCTCTTGGGGGAACTAACCAGGGTCCCATGTGAACTACATGAATTTCTTGTGAGAGCAGCACCTCTGAGAACTAAGCACCTTCCATAAAAGCCCCATCTCGTAAAGATCCAAGATCTGTAGTTTTATCCACATCAGAAGACCTCACAACATCACCACTCTGGGGACCACGCTTCGAGCACATGAAATTGTGCATGATAAACCCTATCGAAACCCTAGCACTCTTGTATTTCCAATGGGTTACGAACTAGATCATTTCCCTCTCATTACTATTTTCAACCTATTGGGTGGATTATCTTGAAAGAGAGTCCAAAAGATATAGCCGGAGCCACAGCTCACTAGGCTAATCCTCCGCCTTGCGGTGCCGGCACACCAGGTTCTAGTCCCGGTCGGGGCGCCGGATTCTGTCCCGGTTGCCCCTCTTCCAGGCCAGCTCTCTGCTGTGGCCAGGGAGTGCAGTGGAGGATGGCCCAAGTCCTTGGGCCCTGCACCCCATGGGAGACCAGGAGAAGCACCTGGCTCCTGCCATCGGATCAGCTCGGTGCCCGGCCACAGTGCACCAGCGGCGGCCATTGGAGGGTGAACCAATGGCAAAGGAAGACCTTTCTCTCTGTCTCTCTCTCACTGTCCACTCTGCCTGTCAAAAAAAAAAAAAAAAAAAAAGTCCAAAAGAAAAAGTAATTTGCAAGAGGAAGGACACTATCATGTTCACCAGTGCTGAATGGAGTCTTTTATTTTTACCATTTCATTTTGCAACAACTACAAAAGCTATTGTGCTATAGGAGATAATTCTAACCAGCCCGGAATTAGGCTGAGCTGTTTTGCTAAAGTTCCTCCTGCCTAGCACTGACCCTGGACCGAGGGCATGAGGCAAACTGATTAAAAATGCTGCATTTTAATCTAGGGCCCAAGGGGGTTCAGGGGGAATTTTCCCAGCTTGCCGTCATTTACTGAAAATAGTGAGATGGATGATTTGCACCTGGTCACTGTGGGACTCCCCCCGCCCCCAGAAGATTGCTGTTGCGGCTGGTTATGCCTGAGAGGTATGCCTAGGTGAGTAGCAAAACATAAAAATCCTCCATTTTGGCCGGTGCCGCGGCTCACTAGGCTAATCCTCCACCTTGCGGTGCTGGCACACCGGGTTCTAGTCCTGGTCGGGGTGCCGGATTCTGTCCCGGTTGCCCCTCTTCCAGGCCAGCTCTCTGCTGTGGCCAGGGAGTGCAGTGGAGGATGGCCCAAGTGCTTGTGCCCTGCACCCCATGGGAGACCAGAAGTACCTGGCTCCTGCCATCGGATCAGCGCGGTGCGCTGGCCGCAGCACGCCGGCCGCGGCGGCCATTGGAGGGTGAACCAACGGCAAAAGGAAGACCTTTCTCTCTGTCTCTCCCTCTCTCACTGTCCACTCTGCCTGTCAAAAAATAAAAATAAAAAAAAATCCTCCATTTTGAGCTCCCTGGTTCTGAGGTGTTCTGTGAACACAATGATGGTTCCTGATCCAAGAAAGAAAGTACATCTGGTCACATTTTTTATATTTATTTTATTTATTTAAAAGGCAGAGTGAGATCAGAGAGAAAGAGATTTTTTGTCTGTCAATTTACTCCTGAAATGACTGTTATGGTCAGGGCTGTGCCAGATTGAAGCCAGAAGCCAGGAACTCCATCTGGGTCTCTGATGTAGGTAGTAGGGGACCAAGCCCTTGGGCCATCTTCTGTTGCTTTCCCAGGCGCATTAACAGGGAGCTGGATCAGAAGCAGAACAGCTGAGACTCCAACCTGCACTCAAAAAATGGCATGCTGGTATCAACCGTCACAGGCGATGGCTTAACCCACTGCACCCACCACAACACTGGCCCTGTGGCCACGTTCTATGTGGAAAGGAGGATAAAGGACTCTTTTGGTTGTAATGTACATTCTTTTAAAAATTATTTTATTTCTTTGAAAGGCAGAGAGACAAGGGAGAGAGAGAGAGAGATTTCCTACCTACTGGTTCTCTCCCCAAATATTTACAGCAGCCGAGGCTGGGCCAGACTGATGCCAGGAGCAGGGAGCACAACCCATGTCCCCCATGAGGGTAGCAGGACTCCATCACCTGCTGCCTCCCATGATCTATATAAGCTGGAATCTGGAGCAGAACCAAGACTTGAACCAGGCACTTTGGTATGGAATGCTGGTGTCCCGGGTGGCATCATTGCTGCTATTGCAAACCCCTGTCCCGCGATGCACATTCTTACTTTGCTGCTATTTGCTATGTTGTATCCTTTTCTGTAACAAACTATAAATTTTAGATCTGGCTAGTCTCTTTTAGTAATGCAGCCCTGTTTAACAGCTATACAGTTATACAACTGATGAACACTTGTGTTCAATGCAGTATTCCAAACGGATTACATCACCCTCAGCATGGTCTCCCGAGAGCTGTCCACTTATACTCCTCATGTGTTCTGTGCATTGGATGGAGTCTCTTCCAAGAACCATTGACATTATCCAAAAACCTGTAAGATGCTTCTAATTCTCTTAAGACTTTCAGCATTCTGAGATGTCTGTCTTACTGGTATCATCCCAGTTCTTCAGCAAACTTCAAGAACCTGGCACTTACATTCCCAACATGTTGCTCAGCGCACTGATTGGAGGACAAGAAGTCAAAGGCACAGAATCTGTGGTGGTGGCACATCATCTGTATGTACAGGAAACCACCAAGAACCATAGCAGGGGTGGTACAAAGGCAGTGTCATGGTTCAGTGGATAAGCCGCTGCCTGAGATGCCAGCATCCCGTGTCAGTACCGGTTTAAGTCCCAGCTGCTCCACTTCCAATCCTGCTCCCTGCTAATGTGCTTGGGAAAGCAATAGAGAATTGCCCAAGCGCTTGGGCCCCTGTCACCCACCTGGGAGACCTGGATGGAGTTCCAGGCTCTTGGCTTTGACATGGCCCCGCACTGGCTGTTGCCGCCATTCGGGAAGTGAGCTAGATGATAGGTGATCTCTCTCTCTCTCTCTCTCTCTCTCTGCCTGCCTTTCACATAAATAATAATTTTTTTTATTTACTTATCTTTAAATTTTTTAAATTATTTATTTGAGAGGTAGAGTTACAGAAAGTGAGAGGGAGGACAGAAAGAAAGGTCTTCCATCCGTTGGTTCAATCCCCAAATGGCCACAACAGCTAGAGCTAGGCCAATCCTAAGCCAGGAGCCAGGGGCTTCTTCTGGGTCTCCCATACAAGTTCAGGGGCTTGGCCCATCTTCCACTGCTTTCCTAGGCCATAGCAGAGAGTTGGATCAGAAGAGGAGCAGCTGGGATGCGAACTGGCACCCATATGGGGTGCCAGCACTGCAGACAGAGGATTGACCTACTGTGCCAAAGTGCTGGCCCCAGAAAATCTTTTCTTAAATGAAGGGAATGACCATGATACAGTTTGTGGAATCTTTAGGGAATAAGAGCAGTGGACCCATCTGGCTGCCACAAGCAAGGCTGACACAGTCTGATGACCTAAGATTCAAAGCCAGAGACTTTAGAGAAGAGAAACAGACTGTCTCCTCCAGACGCAGGGACAGGCAGGAATTGTGTGTGGGAGGCATGGTGCATTAAAGGAAAACCAGGCTCATGAGGACTGTGAGGAGGATGTTGGAGGTGACAGCCAGAGTGGCCCAGACCTTGACTGGCGCTAGGGTCCGTGAGATAGAGGCTCCCTCAGTATTGCTCTATACCTGGAGTGGAGCAGATGCTTAGTCCATCTCTGCACAATGGTAAATGAACGAATGGCTCTCTGGCACTGAAACTAGGATGAGGGCATTTCTTATCACACAGTCACTCACAGAGTGTCCTAGGCCAACCCCATGTCTGAATGTAGAGGTTCTGCTATGAGTCAAATGTCCTCACCAAAACTTGTGTTGGGATTTCAGCCCCATTGTGAGGTATTAAGAGGGAGGAGAGCTAACCAGACGATGGAATTTAAAGCTGGGAACACTGGGAGATAACTGAGGTCAAATGAGGCCATAGAGGTGGTGCCCAGATGCAACGGGACAGTGGCTTTGTACAAAAAGCAAGAGAGATGGTGCCCTGCGCTGCTTTGAGTCTACACAGAATCCCCAGCAGCAAGGACTTTCCACAGTGGAGCTGCCTGACCTTGACCTCCAGGCCTTTAGACTCATGAGCCGCACGCTTCTTTTATTCCTTATAAATTAATCTGTGGTATTCAGTGAAAGCAACAGGAAACAGACTGAGACAGGCTTTAACTTGTAGCACACAAAGTCTAAGCTGATCCAGGAAGCAGGGAGGGCCCTACAGTGTGGGTTCCAGGTGAGTGTTGGCCTGTTGAAGTTGTACAAATGTCGTCTTTGGGCAGAGGTCCTGGAGGCACAGGAATCATAGTGTAATATAGGGTCTGGTGTTTTTAGTCTCATGTTTTGGCCATCTGAATAATTAGAACAATTGCAATGTCCTCTGGGTACAGGGCTTGCACAAAATGCATAGTGTAGACCTGATATCCCACATTTTAGCTAGGTTTTGGCACTAGTAGAAGTTTTAAAACATGGCTACAAATTCTTTACACGTCTATCATCAAAAGATGGGGTATAGGGTTCTCCTTCCTGTGGGTAGGGTCATGATGGCTTCCATCAAGAGAGTAGGGTTAGGGGCTGGCATTGTGACACATCTGGTTAAGCCACTGCCTTCAACCCTGGCATCCCATATCAGTGCAGCCATTTGGGGAGTGAACCAGTGGCTTCCTCTGTCTCTCTCTCTCCTCTGTCATTCAGCCTTTCAAATAAAGGAAATCTTTAAGAGAGGGAGAGAGGGAGAAGGGTGAGGTGGAGCTATGCCATGTCATCTTGCTCACTGGAATGCTAACTCCTGGAGCCCTGAGCTGCCATGTGTGACTTCCGTGAAGCCAAGGCTGCCATGGAGAAGTCTTGTTGAGACGTTCTGGTCTGCAGCCCCAGTCTCCACGTCCCCTCCTTGTGGGCGGCACCTATGTGAGTGCTTGAGCCTTCAGATCAGAAGTTGGCCAAGGTGTCTGTGTCACAACTTCTCAGTCCTACTGTACAGCACAAAGTAGTCGTAGACAATACAAACCTGAACGGCTGTGTTCCGCTAACACTTCCATGCAAAGCCAGGTAGTAGGCTCATAGCTTGTAGTTTGTTGGCCCTTGTTTTCTATAATTCTAGGCCACAACTACTTGAGCCTAAAAACACAGAGACAACTGATCTACCCTGTGCTCCACCCATATCTCTGATCACAGCATCCATGAATCTAACAGAATGGCTGGTGTTTTGCTCCCACACAGCAACAGGTAACTAAAAGCGTATTGCATAAGGCAGGCCTTTGAGCCAGCACGATTTGAGCAGAGACTTGAAGAAGGAAAACTAATCAGGAAGGTGTGTGTCTGGGGAAAGAGCATTCATGCAGAAGGAGCAGTCAATGTAAGGCCCAATGTGAAAGGGTGCTTGAGGTGTGTGTGCACAAAGCAAGGAAAGCATTGATTGGCTCTGCTGAAATGCCCAGCAAGCTTCCTCATCTACACAGGCTGTGCAGGCAAGGCCTGACCATCGTCTGACCCGAATCTTAGCTGTTGCCTTGTGATTCCTCCTGGAGCAGGGCTATGGGAACCTGGTGAGGAGCCACTGGGAGGCAGTCCCATATCCCTGCTGTAGGGTAGATTGCCACAAGTCTCTCCCTCCCCTATCACGAAGCACCGCACTTTTTATTTTTGATATTTTTTATTTGGAAGAGTTATACAGAGAGAGATTCACACACACACACACACACACAGAGAGAGAGAGAGAGAGAGAGAGGGATCTTTCATCCACTGGTTCACTCCCCAGATGGCCACAACAGCTGGGGCTAGGCCAGGCCAAAGTCAAGAGCCAGGAGCTGCATCCAGGTCTCCCACGTAGATGGCAGGGACCCAAGCACTTGGGCCATCTTCTCTGCTTTCCCAGGTGCATTGGCAGGGAGCTGGATCCGAAGTGGAGCAGCGGGACTGGAACTGGTGCTCATATGGTATCCCAGGCAGATACCTAACCTGCTTGCTGCCCCCAAACACAGGACTGTCCCCCTCCTTTCCTCCATCTCGCCCTGCACTCCCTCCCCTTCCTCCTCCCAAGGATACAGCTTCAGGCTCCGGAGAAGTCTCTCAAACTGCCTGGCTGTAGTTTGAAGTGCGCTGCTCGGCAGCAGAGGGCCTCACTGCTCCGGGAATCTGTGCATCGGGCCCCTTGTGGTTTGGTGCCACCCTGTGGGACTAGGGAGGCAAGGCGCTGACACCACGCTGACTTTGCTTCTGCTCTCGGTGTAATGTATAAAACCCTAGTCCATCCAGACCCACCTGGAGGTCAGGGGACTGCCTGACAAGGGAGCAGGGCAGATGGAGACCAGGTCACGTGGGACCCTGGAGGCCACCGACAGGGCTCTGGCCCTTGGCAGCGAAAGCCGGAGCCTGACGTGTCTGGGAAGTCTGCAGGAGAGGAGTGACAGGAGCTGGCTCATGCCGTCCGAGGAGCGAAGTCTAATGCATCCGTTCTAACAAGAGTTCCATTAAGAAAGCAGGAGTGGAAGTTGTCCCATTGGTAAACGTGGCTCACATTTCCGTTGGGATTCGCTGTCTCTGCCGCTGCTCCCTGCGCCCCTCCACCTTCTGGCGGCCCCCCAGCAGAGCCTGCTCCGCATCTGCTCCTTGCGTGAGGTCCCCTCGCTACCTCTCACCCTTCCACAGGAGGCCCTCGACGCCAGGGCCGGCGCACCCTCTGCGGTTCCCGGGAGGCGCTCCGCGGGAGAGCAGTGCATCCAGAACGCAGCCCGCAGCGTTGCTGCCTGGGTTTTGCGCGCCCTCACAGCAGGGATTGCGGGGGTGCTGCGGCCCCTAAACCGCCGGACAGTCCAGGGATTTTGGGAGCCGCCTCCAGTCCCGTCCACGGTCTCTGCTCCCCTCACTCCACCACAAGCCTCCCTCCCCTTTACCTCTCTCCCGCTCCCTCTCCTCTCGACTCTCTCTCCCCTCTCCTGCTCCCTGCTCCGCACCCCCACCCCCGGTAGGACCGTCAGGCAGTCGGCCCCTCCCCTGCTCTCCAGCGC